CCCTCGGTCTTGACTAGGACCCCAGCCTCTCTAAATTCCGCCTTAACTCGGACTCGACTAGTCCTGGTCTTGGACTCGACAAAGGTTGTCATGACTGCAGCAATGTCTAACAGTTATGAATGGACAATGTAAGTGAACAGAATGTACTCACTTCTCACAGGACTCGTTTTAAGTTGTTGAAGCGAGAGACTGTATTGGCTTGGCACAACTTCAGTTTTTATGACTGTAGATGCCAAATAATGAATGAAGGTGTTTTTGTCTGTTTTTATTCTGTCTGTGCCTTCAAACAACTCTGTTTTGTTGTATGGGAAGCCCTTTTTTTACTTTGCTCAGAAATAAATTTCTGTCTGGTTCTCCACCGTCCGGCTGGATGAAAAGCCTCCGTTTAGCTGAGTGGGAGAGGGTGGCTCAAGGCCGTCCTGCCGCCACACCCTGGGATGTTGATAAAGATTTTTTCCCATCTATTGTTCTCCGTTCTCTCCCATGCACGGCTGCCAGTGCAGACACCAGACGAGTGTGCCAAGCAGGCAGCGTCTCCCCGGGCTGCTGGTTGTCCGGACAGGCCAGGAACCCCAACTGCCTGTTATCTTGTAGGAAATGGACAGGTCATGAACCCACAAATGCAAAAGACAGATGGGCTGCATTAGAGGTTAGGAAGTCCTGGAGAGGACTGATAGCTGATGATGCTGACTTCTTCCAGGATCCAAATGAGTTTGAGCATCTTGAATTTATTTTTTTTGACTTTTCAGTCACTTAAAGAACGCTGTCGGAGGTAGAAGCGTGAGTTGAAAAAGTGAACTGCCGTGTTCAAAACCAGCCAATGCAAAGAGAGGTTGATTGTGTTTATGAGTTGACTAGAGGTAGATGTTCATTACCTGCAGGAAGCTCAATTTGCTTATCTTTTGTATTAAAATGAAGGTCGCTGTGAAGAGTGGTAGAATGCCACCTCGGCACCAAACATGCCCATTTTGAACAGTTTTGTCCCCAGGACATAGAGGTAACAACCAGAAAACTTTTCCTCCAGCAGTATAACTGTAGAAATCGTGATATAAGTGTGGGCAAACTGTGAAACTGCCAAAACGCATTTGCTGTGAACATAGTAACGCATAGACCCACCTCACGCATTACAGTTTAAAAAACTTTTAAAAGAGCACAATAGCAGCACTCTGACTCTGTTTGACCTGAATGCAACAGAACCTTTATTAATATCATTGGTAACACCTATTTACCCTACTATTTCATGTCAAAATGGCTGCTGTGAAAAAGGTCTATTCCATATATCTATGTGGCTACAGTGAAAGGACCAATGCTGCTTCCTGACCTCTGCTGTTCAATAAAATTATGTCTTTTATAATCACACACCACTTTGGCTTGAAATCATTTAGCTTCAGCAACAACAGAAAACTGCAGACATGATCACGCACAAGTTATAAGAATCAGAATCACTCACTTTTAGAAAGATCTCAAAAAGTACAAAACAGCAACTCAATTACAGCTTCACGCTTGAAAATGACAAAACACACCATACACGTCTGGGCTTTCGACCCCGCTCATGATAACTGGACATTAAAGGGGAACTTGGCAACTATTTCAACGTAATAAACCCGTTTAGAAATCATTTGGATGGTTAAATGGCCTGTTCCGGTGTTAATGGTGACTTTCCCCGCTCCCCCTAGCGTCCCCAGGCGGCAAACCAACCTTGCAACTTTGGGACTACCGTCCCGTTAATTTGGGAATAGGAAGTATCGTGAGAAGCGAGAACGAGCGAGAAACACAAACTGCTTTACGGCAAATCACATAAACGCACACGCCCCCCTCACGCCGGCTATAAGAACAAGCGACGATGAATGTATTACCCACCTCGGTAGACATTGCTCCACATGAAAAAGTTGCCCAGCAACAAATGCACATCAGCAGCGGTAGAAAGGGGGAGGAGGGTGCCGAAAGTGAGTTTTTTTACGACAGTGTTTTGAAATATACGTCCCAGAGCTGTAGGGGGAGCTCGTTGAGAAAACATGCGACGACAAAAGTGAAAACCAGCGAAGAAATGGCTAGAGTTGCCAAGTTCCCCGTTAAACACACAGACCCAGATGCATGTTCACACGCACAGAAACCTTTATTTTTAGAAAAAGTGCTGACAGCCCTCAGACTGACTGAAGTTTTGTGGGCTGTGTCACACGTTTTTTTCACACGCTTGAAAAATAAAAGCCTCCGGTCTGAATCGTGGTGAGAGAGCGGCAGGTGCATAATTAAAGAAAAACACTTTCCTCGCCTCTCAGCCAGGGAGGGAGGTCAGGGGGGGCACTTCATTATTCAGCCTCCTTCTGTCCTCAGCCACAGCCATTGGAGGACTGTGTGTGTGTGTGTGTGTGTGTGTGTGTGTGTGTGTGTGTGTGTGTGTGTGTGTGTGTTTGTGTGTGTGTGTGTGTGTGTGTGTGTGTGTGTGTGTGTGTGTGTGTGTTTGTGGAGGGAGGGGGGTAAACCGGGGAGCGCTTAACTGTGGGATGGTGGGGTGGAGGGGCAGATGTTTCATACAGATTTCATACAGTCCACACAGCAACAGTGGGACAGGTCAACAGTAACACAGGGAGAAACCAGCAGGGGAGGGACTCAATGCAGAGGATTTGTGCACAAATTAAAGCACGAAGGAACGAAGGAAGACAAAAAAGCTTGCACTGGCACATCTCAAGTTTGGCACCCTTCCTCAGGCAGCATCCACTTAGGCTTTTTAATGTTCTTTTTACTTCTCAGAGCCTGTCCACAACTTTAATAAACAGCCCCCATTCTTTATTCCCTATAAATGTTACTAGCTGGTATCTTTTATTTTGGATATATCATGCCATGTATCCCATGCAGGCATGAATTTCAAACTATCACGGAGTCTGGGTCTTCAACAGGGGTTCCTCAGAGTTACTGCAGGGGGGGTCGCTAAATCATTGTTTGATCATTTATTGAATTAAAACACGTCTGAAAAGAAACATGAACAACAAATTATTAGATAAACTGGCCTATAATATATATATATATATATATATATATATATGTTGTACATGTTATTGTACACCCAGTTTAACATGCAACATAATTTAATATAGTATATGTAGTAGGGGTCCCTGCTCCATCTCTCTACAAGCTATGGGGTCCTTGGCCTGATACAAGTTTATGTAATGGGAGGAAACACACTGTATGTTCCAATGTTCTTAAAAATTGTAGTCTCTACATTGTCTAATAAATCATACTTTTATATATGCAATGAAAGCAGGGATGTGGAGATGATTAAAAATAATTAATTATTTGGGTAGTAACTGTAAGGTAAGCAACACTTTAAAGACAATGTTATGACAACAAAGAGTTGAATTAGTTTGAATCTAGCTTATTGAAATCAAACTGAATATTTCTTTTACTAATAATGTGAATAAGGTTTAGGTACACTACACTCCATCCAGTGGTGAATTATTACTAACTACATTTACAAGAGTACTGACTTAAGTGGAGGTACCTGTACTTTACTACTGCGTGTATTTGGCAGCTATAGTTACTAGAGGCTTTGCTGACTAGGACTGTACATACAAAATATAGCTATTATGATCTCATAAAATAAAATTTTTCTCAATTTATATTTATTAATTTATACACAGTTTTCGTCCAGGGGTCTGGAGAGGTGAATGTATACTTGCAAACTTTTGTCATGAGGGGTTCCCAGCAGGCAGCCCACAACCCCAAAAGAACTGGAACCAGTACAGGATTAAACTACCCAACAGCACAGAAAGTAGTTCAAATGAGCTCCACCTTCACTACAACATGAAAATGCTGCGTACACTTTCATGCACCAGCAACTAACACAGTCAGGGTCCATTCAGTTACATAATGACATTAACTCAAGTACAAGCACAACTTTGAGCTACTTATACTTTGCTGAGTGTTTTAATTTTACACTCCTTCATACTGCTTCTCTTCAGCAATTAGAGGGACATGTTTTACTAATTACTCCATTTATTTAACAGCTGTAGTCACTTCTCAGAGATTTGACATTAAAAAACATATGAGGAATATAACACACAGTGCATTCCTACAGATTAAGCTGAATGAGTTCCATCTCCACCAGCTGTGGCATAATAATGCTGCTTTCACACTGAGGCATCATCACTAAAAATATAATAATGTAATGTTTAACACAGTGGTTGTCAAACTGGGATCCAGGGACCAAAATGGGTCTTTGAGTGGGTAGTAGGGGGTCCCCAGCAAAAGGAGGAACAAAAGGAATATTTTAATATGAAAACGTTTGGGAACCTATAACATATCTGTCACAGGGGCCCATTAAGTAAACACTTTATAGCCAACACTAATGTAAGACTGTAATGGAGAATTTCTGCATTCTGCATGACTTTATCTTCATAACATTTTTACCTTTATCTTCTTTTAAATGCTTTTATTTTGTTGGAATCTGTTTTATTTTGCACACTTTGTAACTATGTTTTGAAAGCTGTTATTATTAAGTCATGTCAATGATCTTAATACTTCCTCCAGCACTGCATAATGACTACTTTTACTGTTCATAGTTCAAGTAGCTAGTATAATACTTCTGTATTCCTACTTAAGTAAAATGTATCATTATGAACACATAACTTTTATTCATAAATGGAGTACTTATTTTTAAATTTTACTTTTTTTTAAACTTTAATATCTGACTTTGTGATATTAAGTCAATATTTTGAGATACTAAGTCATTATTGTTTGTTTTTCATAATAATGACTTACAGAATCTCTTTTTCTCCGTCACTTTGGCAGAAATGGGCTTCCACAGATCAGGCAGAGATGTCTCGTTGAAAAGTTGTCTGCGCACCTGTAGCTCCATCTCACAGTCCTGTCTATAACGCATCAGTAAAGCCCTGCAGCTGCTGCACAGACTCTCACTAAAGCACCCAATCCTATATCATATGTTGTAGAGGCACTCAATAGAAGAATCATTGAACATTTACTTTGAATCCAGTTGTACTCACTGAGTGAAAGCAGCAGCCATGTGATCCTCATAGTCGCTCTCATCCTGTTTCTGCCTGTTTCTCCCGGATGGATTTATCCTTCATGCAGCGCTGCGCTACGAGCCCTCACTGAGGATGTGGGGACGATTCGGGAAGATAAACCCGGGTCTGGCCGCTGACTGACGCCGTCCTGTCACGCCTTTCTCCTTGAATTTGTATCTCAAGTAAATGATCTCGCACAACGTATTGTTCACTTTTCTTCTTCTTTTAAAGTGAAAGCCAAGAATGCCTTTGTTTGTCCGCTGCTTCTTTCTCTCCTCTCTCTGCAGAGTTGGGGATTTGTGTGTGTGTGTGTGTGTGTGTGTGTGTGTGTGTGTGTGTGTTGGGGGTGAAGAGTGTTTCTGTGGTCTCCTTGGCGGTGTCGTTGTTGCTCAGTGTCTCTCTACCTCTCTCTCTCTCTCTCTCTCTCTCTCTCTCTCTCTCTCTCTCTCTCTCTCTCTCTCCTCTTCGTGCTGTATTGTGCTCTGTCAGTCCTCAGTGTTTCAGCCAGTGTAGCACTGCCCATGCTGTCCCTGCCTCCCTTATCATGAGGAACCAGGGGCAGACCCAGCCCGGTCCAATCCCTGAGCTCTGGACTGGCTCTCTGCTGCCGGGACATTTTGAATAACAAAGGAAGCTGTGAGACAATGTGTTCCCCTGGTTTTGATTCTTTCCTAAAATGGTCCATGACTCAAGGACGCGGGGTGAAGTCACATCAGCAGCGATGTTGTTTGATCAAGGGAAAGGCCCGTTGGGATCCACAGAGTCAGCATGTCTTCATCTTGACTTGTCCTCCTCTGAACACGTTCACACACACACACACACACACACACACACACACACACACACACACACACACACACACACACACACACACACAGAGTGTCTGTGGAGCATCTGTAGCTTGGACTTCAGTCACAAAAGTGAGGAGCTATTAACCCGCCTGCTGGGAGACATATCTCCCTAGTTCAATGTTGTTTTATTGGTCAGCATTCACACACATGAAAGGCGTCTAAACCTGACTATGAAGCTTTGTGTCTAAGCCAGAACAATCTGAAAACGCTATTGTCTCCCTTTGTTTTGGTCCTCCATCTATAAACCATTTTCCAAATCATACAGAACCCCTGGGTCACAGTGGTTATTTGAATACATTTTGCACTCCCTCTGATCCATAGAGTTGTAGGCCGCTGAAGGTTATGACCAGTGGTGGACTTTGAGGGGTAGGGGTGAAAAAAGCAAAAAGGGCACCAGTGTGCAGAAAGTTGTGATGAATTCATGGTGAAACGGCTTAGTCAGGGTTAGGATTAGCACCCGAGAGGGCACCTTATTGTGTTTTGTCCACTTGACGAAAACCCTTGAGGTTATCTAGCAAAGGGTCACCCTGGAGGGCACTTCATCATGTTTTCTCCACTGGAAAGGTACCTTAGTCTGCACTTTATCATGTTTTATCTACCATAGGGGAACCCTGGAGGGCATTTATTGTGTTTTCTCCACTGGCAAGCATCTTCATCACATTTCTTCCACAGGAAGGGCTACTCATCATGCTTTATTTGCCACAGATATCCAAGAGGCCATTTTTGCTGCACTTCTCTTCTCAAACATGGTGGCAACCGCCCCTTGAGTCAGGCTGCAGAGCTCTGGCTGTGGCTGTGATTGTGGCAGTAGCTATGGCTGCACACATTAGTTTGTAATGGTGTAACTACAGTGTGACATACCCAAATCTGAATATGTTGGTCATAAAGCACAAATAATGCAATGGAAATGGATATTTCTTCTATTCGAAGTTGCTTAATTTATTCATAAAAAATGCAGCCTAACCCTAACCCATGAATAGTTCAGCATAGTTTAAAAACAGGTTGCATCTACCTTAAACAATCACTGATTAATGCACTGCCTGGGATCAGGAGAAACGCTAAAGTATTATGAGGGAACGTAATAGCAGTTTGAAAAATCCCTGTCTCCAAAGTGTTTTAGCGCACAAGGAAAATTATGACATGAGGCTGCGACGGTCCGGGGCTGTGTAGCAGTCAGGGTAAGGTTGTTACCTGATCGATTGATCATGAAATTGTGATTTCTTCATTGGTCTCAGTGCAGCAGTGCAGTAATAAGGCTGCCTGGTTAACAGAAGGAATTTATTATCGGAGCACACATCAAATTATTTTATGCTCATTCGGTTGTCTGAAACAAAAAATATGTGAATTAGACTAAATTGTGATTGGTCTGTATTAAGACACAGTACAGGTGATCTCTGAGGCAGGAGGGGACTGATCAGATTAAACCAGTTGACTCAACACAGTGCAGTGGCTGTGAGCCACAGTTCTGTCGTTCGCAGACCAACATAAAATACATGAAAAAGGAGTGAGTTAGCTGTTGTCCAGTTGTTTAGGTATTTCAGTGTGGATGGACTTGAATTGTGACTCTTGAGTCTTGCCCCCAAAAGACTTCTGGGTGTTTGGCATCACATTCAGCATCAGACCTGGACAGCTTAACTGTTAAAAAAACACACAAAAGAAATCAGTGTCATAAGTTTCACATTTCTTCACTTCTTTTCACATTCTCATATCAGTTCATCTCAAAAAGGCTGATTCTGTTTGTTTTTTTATTTACTCCTGCACAAAACTTAACTACTTTACAAGCATTGCTCATGCATATGAAACAGAAACTCCAATGAACCCATCCTCATTGTGTCTTTTCTTGTTCTGTGAGTTTTAAATGGTGAATATTAATTTGTTCCTGTCCCATTAGCCTGCAATGACAGTTTAATTTACTCTAGAAGTGGGCACACTGGTCCAGCTGGCGTTGTGTTTGACTTTTGGATTAAAGTCAGGCATTTCGGCGAGATTGTTGCCCTGCAGGAACCACAGAGACTCAGTTGCTTGTAGCCATGGAGACGGATATTCACAAACGTCCCAGGAATTGCTTTCAGGGCACTTTTACTATGCTTCCATTCACTTAGCTCCAAATCTCCGTTGACTGACGGGTCACAACTGGATTAAATCCAGATCCTGCCCTGAATGCAACACCAACCAGCACGTCTATTTAAAAAAAAAAAAGAGACTTTGTAATCGTCTAACTGCTGTTGTGCTTTTGGGCTTGTGATGCAAGCTCCACTGGCTGTTGATGGGAAGTCTGGGAAAAAAATAGGAGATAACATCAGGGGTGTGGAGGTTTTCCTGGGTGTTTCCTTCCACTGCAACAGTTAGTCAGTCATTAATAAAAGGCTTTAGAGACTGAGCTTCAAAGACATGAATACAGCTTCAGGAGTCACGCTTGGACTGCAGATCTGGAAAACTTACACTAAGTGGTCTTGGGATTGGTGTAATTGTGTGTGTACATGTGCATTAGGATCATTCATGCTAGTGGTGTGAGTGTACATATTGTAGACAAACTGTTAACACTTGGCATATAGCGGTGAAGAAGCATATTGCAACCATTTGAATACTGCTCAGCCTTCCAAGCACGTAGGACAGTGGTTGGGGGAAAAAAAGCTATAGTGTCCGTTTTCGGCTACTTCAGAAATATGGGAGTTCAACATCTGCCAGAAAAAGACTTGTCCCCTCTGTAGATAAAATGTTTGTGTCATTTTAAGATAACAAAAACACAACAATTCTTATTTTCAGGTCATTATACACTAATGAAAACATATATGAATATTATATTCCATTTCTGCCAATAGATCCTCCAGTGTGTAACTAAATGTTAAACTTTAAGCTGACATGGTGAACTTGCAAAATACTCTCCTGGCATATTTTGGGCAGAGCATAGTGATTACATAATTTGGGAAAAGAGAAACTTCTCAGTAAAAACAGAGGGATGAGGGTTTTTTTTCAATCAACTTTTCGACAATGAGAAGTTGGGTGTCATGTTTTCACACAGCAAACATGAGGGAAGTGCAGTTGGAGAAATTAATTTGTATTAAATAATCTAGTATCTTTAGCAAACTTGTTTTTTTTTTTGTTTCTCCAGGCAGTTGCAGCTGAATTTTGTTTTGGGGATAAAAGCATTCAGATTTACACTAAGAATTTGACTGAATATCAGCACAAAATATCAGCATTTGGTGTTGGTCTTCACACATTAATTAAAATTCATACAACCTGCCATGGTAAAATCCAATGAGCTGTCTCGGACACAAAGTAGTAGTGATCAGCAGTCTATGAGTGGCAACAGTTGACATCAAAGTGGATGAAGAACATCCTTCCTACCAGTCACAGCCGACAAGCGGACCACTGACAGGAGACACCAACTCAGTCACATTCAGGAAGCTCTGTGACACATCCTTCCCTCTCTCCCTCCCTCCATCTGTCATTTTCTCAGTGATCTCAGTTCACTGAAGCGCTGATGCGTACATGTACACCACGTTTGTCCTGAATCCAGCTGGCCCGATGAGGTGTATCATCCAGGCCACATGGAGGTAATGGAGGGTGAAATCTGTGAGGAGCTCCGGGATCAAACCACTCTTTAAGCACTAAAGCTAACATGACATTCCTCTGACCAGCTGCAGGAATTAGGATGGCTGCTGGTAGTCATGCATGAAGGCACACTCAGACATTCAACGTGCTAATCTGACTTTGGGAGTGCAAACACAATATCAGTGATTGCAGGGCACAAAGATATCAAACTCACTAAATCACTCACTTAATCCTCCAGACCTTTAAAAGTGATGATGATATATATTATTTTTTTGAATTCACAGCTTGTTTTTGCTGCCTCCAAGTGGCCAAAAAATGAGTCACTGCAGGTTTTAATATAACTAGGCCTTCTACTCCAGCAGGTAAGCATCCCTAAAATCCACTCTGTCTAACCCACTGTTGCCCTTTTAGCAATTTTTTCTTTTCCTTTTTTTCTATGCTAACACAAAATAAAATAAACTAGCTAGCTGTGCCAAATGGATTATCATGACACCAAACTGTCTGAGAAGCAAGGGCTTGGGTGGGGCAGGGGTGGCATCAAGTATGTGTCACAGCTTTTCAGTCATTCCCAGTTTATACAATTGCAATACAGTTTAGTGACCCAAGTATGCAGAAATATTCAAATGCACTAGGTGGAAAAAACACATTTTATACCACATATTAAACAAGCAACTGTAATTTTAGATGATAGACGGCTGATATTCTTAACAATAACAATGGTAGAAGTAGTATAAAGTAGAGGGGGGCGCTCGTGTGCAGTGATGGAGTAGACGTGTTTTCCGAGTGCTCCGTGCCATCTCCTTAATTTTATTTTCAGAACATTGCACTTTAACATTATTTTACGCTGGGTTGTCCTTTAACCTGTGCTGTAGCCTGTTGGAATGGGTTTATGTCAACATGCCTAAGAAAGCCGATAGAGGGATACATCCAAGGAGAGGTCGTCGGTCGCTAGCAACCATGCTATATTAGCGGGTATCGCTAACCACAGGGCTGAGCTCGTGAAAATCACCTCTCTCATAGATGGCTTAAAGGGGAACTTGGCGACTATTTCAACTTAATAAACCAGTTTAGAAATCATTTGGATG